TTAATATATGACGTGAGAACGTATGTCAGTAGTTTACAACACGAACTATGAAATACACAAACAGTTTTGGCAGTCTCACCAGTGAGATTTCGAAACAACTGCCTCTCTTGTCTACGAGAGTAAACCAATACACAAATGTATTGCAAAGTCTGACTCACGGCTTCAGTTAGCACGTTAGAATCTGCCCACCTTATGGGATTGTGCGAGGCACACCATATCACTCAGCTAACAGCCACTCAGGAGAAAGCAGAACTCTACACCTGCCTGCTACAGCCTTGAGCTCCTGTTTTGAAGCTGCAGCATAGTCTGTGCTCACCTTACTGGAGGGTGCTAAGGAAGACAAGAGATGGGGTTGAGGTGGGTGAAGCAAAGGTGGCCCCGGGGCTGCTCTGATTAAGCACACTCTGTGGAAAGTGCCCACCCAGGGGCACGCTGCAAGGCAGGATCTACAGGGATGAGCAGCTGTTGTAACCATCACCCTACATTGTCCCCACCTGACACAATTCTTCCATAACTGTGTGTGTGACTGAAATGGCAAAATGCAGCTGAGGCAGCAGGAGAGAACCACTCCCCACAAAGACATCTCCTGTGCCCAAGATCCAGACTGTGGCTATTCAGACGTGGATATAATACACACTGACAGAAACAGGAAACCATAAAGAAAAAAAAAGCCATTTTCATACAATATGTATTTTTCCTAGTAAAGCTGTACGGCTCTCAGCCAGAGATTATGCCTTTTCCCTCCCTCATGCTCACAGAAATCCACCTTAAGGCCATCCTGACCATTGGCAAAGTACCCTCCATGGGCCCCCATGTTCAGCACTGCACAGGGACAGGCCTAAAGGTCAGCAAATACTTTGGCTTCTCTATTCTAGTCTCTCCAGGCCTGCTTAAATCTTTCTTCCATAGTCTTCTGCCACAGCAAGGGCTTCAATTACCTAAAGAGCTGCAGATCAAGGGCTGTTCAGAGATCCAGCTTTTAGGGGTGTTCTTGCACAAGTGAAAAAACAAGTGTTGCAATTCTGACACACAATTTTGCTGAGGGGGTTGTACTACACCAGTTTGTCAGCTTGAGGTACATGATGAAGTTTTAGCCACTCCCTTTGCATCACAGTAGTGAAGTCAGATTCAATAGACACCAATACCAATGACACTGGCACTGCTGTTAATGCTGAAATGATGTGAATGGAAACGGTAACCTCTATGCTAAAGAATCCAAAGTACGTATTAGGAGATACAATCCACGTAACACCAAGGAGTATGTAGACTGGATGGATTTAGGGGACTAAAGAACATTTTTGAGAGCTTTGTTCCAGAGTCCCTTTCCAAAGATGAGATTGGACATCTGTCATTCATCTTCTAGCCTGCCAAAGTTGAGAATATGGGGAAGCATCTAAAGCACTGCTCTGTCCATCATGTTAAGACAGATACCCATCCTTTCCTCCAGACAGACACACCACCATCTGTAACACATATAGTAACTCCCACGTGAGGGTGTACAGGGCCAAACCTGACAGCTAAACAGGAGGTCAAGCCTGCCTGTTGTGCAGCTCTTGGCACCTGACAGCATTGCTGTTGGTACAGCTGGACTTGAAGTCTCACAAGGGCAAGAATGGAAATGCAGTCAAGCCATCTTCATACCAAAGCTGTCCACTCCCCAACCTCTCTTCTTCCCCCCCAAGCTTTCAGCTTCATCCATGCCTGTTGACCTGAACTGCTTGCTCCAGAAACTAGCTCCTGAGCTCCAGCAGTCCCTGCCATGAACTCAAATTCACTGGCACATGTGGTGGCTCCCACTTGCCCCAGTTCTGTGTATTCTGCTGGAAGCCAGGTTGATCACCACAGGCTCTGACCCACCAGCACTACAAAATCCAGCAACTTGGCTCAGTGTCGTGGTTTAAACCCAGTCAGGTAATTCGTTCACTCACTTCCCCCCCTTTCTTGCCCTCCCCCCTCCCCCTACTCCCGAAGGGGCAGAGAGGAGAATCGAAAAGAATGCAACTCCCACGGGTTGAGATAAGAACAGTTTAGTAACTAAGGTATAACACAAATCACTACTGCTACCACCAATGATAATAATGATAAAGGAAATAACAAGGGAAGAGAATACATCATCTCACCACCAGCCGACCGATAACTTGCCCCCCTCAGCCCGACCAAGCACCAACCGATAATACCTCCTCCAACCCTGCAGACTCCCAGCCCTTCCGGCTAACTCCCAGTTGCATCCTGGGCATGACATGCTGTGGTATGGAATACCTCCTTGGTCAGTTTGGGTCAGGTGTCCTGTCTCTGCTTCCTCCCGGCTTCCCCTCCTCCCTGGCAGAACATGAGGCTCACAAAGTCCTTGGCCAAACCAAACATTACTATCAGCTCTGTTCCCAGGCCGAAAGTCAAAACACTGCACTGCACCAGCTACCAAGAAGGGGAAAAATGACTGCTACCGCTGAACCCAGGACACTCAGCTTCAAAGAAACCCATCATTTGGGTTGTGGATGTTCCCAGCTCCAGCCGCGGTGACTCAGCCAAGATGGAAGCTGTACCACCCCCCACTGCTGAGTTCTCAGAACAAATTGAGATGGCAAGGCCTCCAAGAAGGCAGAGTTATAATCGTGAGGCGGGGTGGGAGAAGAGATTCTCTGTGCAGAAATACTTCTGCAACAGCAAATCTCTCTGATGTGGTGGTTCAGATTCTACAGAACATCAAAACAACTGGCATGTGACAGCTTTGCACCAGGCACTTCTTCCAGACTCCAATTCTGGGCACAGTCTCTGGTGATCCTAATTAAGGAATTTAAAATGGGACTTGCATTTCTCCGGTGTGATTCTGCTTCTGAAGCACTGCACTACTGAGGAGTTTTGCAACTGCCAAGACATGAAAGTGTGTTTGTTATTAACACATCACTACATAATTAGGGGACTTAGCAGGGGGCTGCGTATTGCCATGTTCTTTTTCCTCTGTTGCTGACAGTGTTAGATGAAAGTCTCTAGGTATCCCATTAGGTGACAAGTGAAAATGAGTTCTGTGGCCAAAACTAAGCAATTTGGCACAATTTAGTAGAGAAGTGGCATTTTCTGCTCAAAAAGGGCCCAGAATTGGAACAGCATGAGGTGTTACAGCCCAAGATCAAGATGCGCTGGCCAAGCTGAATGGGTGTCTCATGGAGCAGAGCAGCAGTGGGTGTTGAAGCCCAGGACTGAGATATATTGGCAGAGCCCAGATGGGGAATGTTGCCCAGTTTCTGAGAACAACACAGAGTTTGTATTTTAATCAAAGCTCCTCTGCTCATCTGCATGGCTCAGCACAAACTTTCATCTTCTGAATTTTCCAGGCCTTTATTAGGATTCATCCAAAAAGCCTACCTTCCACTTTTCCCCACTCCTCCCCCAGTGAAGACATGCTGGTAGCCACCACTCTCACCCCTGTATTCTGCTGCTGCCTCCCAACAAACATCATGGGTGAAGCAACAGACATGTAAAGCAGCAGACATGTACACACTAATTTCATGTATATGGACTGATACAAGGTTCCCACTTTCAGTTTCCAACTCAGACCAAATGAGGCCTGTGATCAAAGACAGGAGGCTGTGAGATTTTAGCATGACAAATGGGTGAGTGAGCTGGGCACACAAAACTGGAATAACTGACTTCATGAAGCCCAGGGAACAAGAGAGAAGCAGCAACATAATGGGAGTGCTGGAGGGACAAGAGGTAACAGGACTGTGAAGCATCTGTAATGCAGATCCTACCCCAAGTACTGCCTGACGTTTATTAGCTACAGCTAAAGATTCCATCCCAGCACTGCAGACACGCATGGCCAACCTCAGAAACAATAAAGGAATTCATAGCTGGAGAAAACCCCTCCCCTTCCCACCCTGGGCACAGGCCTCTACCCTTTAAGCTGGACAAAGTAGGTCGGACGGAATGAGCTCATTTGCGTATGTAAATTCAGCCTACCAAGGAGTAAAGACAATTGCTTCAAGCTTATGAGTTCCAACTAAGAAAAACAAGTCTTCATAGCCCCTTTGGGAACTGGAAGCTTTGGCTTCTACCCTTCCCTTGCCCATATATTCATCCCCTTTCCTCTTGCTTCCTGCCTAACCAGCTCCTGGCAAACCCCTGTTCCCCAAACCAGAGCCTGTGGTCAGAAAAGCAAGCTCAGGGAGGTCATTAAAAAGCTCCCACACAAACATCTGTTAGCTCCAAGCGGCTGCTGAGAGCATGTGCCATGTGAGCAACTCTCCATAGCTGAATTTCAAACAAGCTGGAAACGTCTCTCTTGCCTGCCTCCTGCAGACAAAGTCTTTTTTCGCCTTTTTTCTTTTTTGCTGAAGGGAACAAGCTCCATTTCCAATAACTGAAGACTGATTAAACCCACTGTGCCCCCCCGCCCCCCCCACCCCAGTCACAAGCAGCTCATACCATGAAACAGTGTCAAGAAAAGGATTTCTTACACAAAAGGCTTCATATAACCAGGGAGAAGAAACAAAGGAAAACTGTTGACATTTAAGTTTTGATTTAACTCTTTGCATTCTAAACCTCATTAACTCTTAGTTTGCTCTTGCTATGCTTTTAATAAAAATATTCCTGCAAAACCCCTTGAAACCAGCATGTTGCATCTTTGAAATGACACACAGCACTGAACCAGAAGCAGCTTGCTACTTCCATAATTAAACAGGTATTTAATTAATACCTTTTACTCAGCCCATGTGAACTCCTGTGAATCCAAGAGCCCTGTGTCCGTTTCTGTTACCTCTAAGTAAAATTAGTGGGGCCCTGGGTGGCTCAGATGAAGGAAAGAAGGAGCTCAATTCCACTTCTCGGCTGTCATTTTACCGCTAATTCAGCTGTTTGAGGCAAATCTAGATCTACATCAGCTTAAAACAAATGTCAACTGAGAAACTGTTGCTTAGCTCTTTAACCAAACATGTTCTCCGAGGGAACCTCTTTTTCTTTTTTTCAACCTTTTATTTCTGTTGGCTCATAAATCTTTCAATTACCCTTGCAGTCCCATTCAAGTCCTCTGACAGAACTGTGCATGCAGACTGAACACCAGCAGTTTATGGAGAGCACACAGCAGTTGTTCCTCTTGAGCAGCTTCAATTTTGTTGATGTGGAGACTCTATCTGTCCTGGCAGGAATAAGGACAACTTCAGTCTTCAGTGCAACAATGCAGAACACTGAATTAGCATCAAGTGAAAAACTAATCACCCCAAAATGGCTTAATTCCCCAAAGCACTGCTGTATTAGCTAGGTTATCTGCTTGCAGCCTAACCTTCTGATGACATGGTACTAATAATGGGGTCCCCCAGCTGCGACGGCGCTGTGTCGTGGCTGCCTTATGGGCATGTCTGATTATGATGTTCTGTGACAAGGCTATAAATACACCCATTCCCACAGGTGCAGACCTGATTGCAGTGAGCAGCGAGGGGCTCTGGCAGGTATTTGCTCTGTTCTCAACCAGCGTAGCATTGCCTGCTTGAACGGGAGGGCTGTTTATAACTGTGCGAGCCTCACAGGCTTATCCCCAGGGGAGCTGGAGCACAGAAGCGAGCGAGGTTTCATAATCACATACACATCAAAGGTTAGCAGGAAAAGTGCCGAAGGGAAAGAAAGAGTAAATTTGTTCAAATGAAAAAGCCTACTGACAAAACTCAAAGACCACCTGAGCAAAGGAAAAAGGGGATTACATCTTAACAGACTAACTCTGGTGGGCTGAATGTTGGTCTGAAAGGAGATGAAGATAATCACTCCTTTACAGGGCACTTCGGCACGGAGTTATCTGGGGAGAACGGAGTGTTTGAGGATTTCCTGAAGAACAGGGAAGGTGGCTAGGCCTCTACTTTGTTTTAAAGCATTCTGTTCTTAAAGATCATTATATTATCATAATGCTTTAGGCCCATAAAACCAGTCCGTGTACCTATAAAAACTATCTAACGCTAGTGACAAGGGGTCTTCCCCCTCTCTCCTTCCCCAGCAGTTCCAGCACCCATCGCCTGCCTGTCTTGCTCGCTCTGCACCCTCAGTCCTCACTTGCCCTGAGGAGCAACTTCACACAACAGAAAAATCATAGCTAAATGTGGAAGTCCTCTTTGGTAAGGACCAGCAAGAGACAGAACCTAATGGGCAGCCAAACAACCCCCGAGGGGCAGACATGAGTCCAGAACGGCTGCTGTACATCAGCTGTTGACCCTGCATCCCAGACAGAAAAACATCGACACAAAGCCTTCCGCCAACCCATCTCCTTTAGTGTTTGTTTTGTCAGAGTCAAAGGAGATGACAATCACTCACAACACAGCACTGCATAAGGAAATTATCAGCTGCCTCAGCCAACGCACTGTGGTGCGCAGTTGTCAAACTCTTGCAGATCCTGTCAGAAGCCTTAAGTAATGTTTCTATTACTTCTAAAGAAGCCCAGAAAAACTCCTTTTGATTAAAAAGGGAATCCTCCCTTTCGACTTGCTACACCACCTCTGCAATGGGCTGCAAAGGGTGCGCTCTCCTGCTGCAGCCTGCACAGCCTGCCTGAGGAGCAGTATGGTTAGAGAGCCCATGAAGTCAACCTGGGAGAAGGTATGAGAGAGAACAAGGCCAGAAACTACACTATGAAGGAAGAATATATATTATGGCCAGTGATTAGCTTCAGGTCAGTGGCTGGTTTGCTGAACACGAGCTGGTCAGACAGAGGCACTGGTGTGCTTGGGGCAGAATGGAAATACAATACACACACCCACAAAGATGCTGGGCGACAACGGACAGAGGAAAAGGGGCACCACAAGGAAAAAGCCAAACGAGGGGAGGGTGTTGGTACCAGTACAGAGGAGGCTGCCGGCACGATGCCCTACCAGGCTTTCCCTCCGCACTGCTGGCCCAGTCTGAAAGGCTCTCGGCCCAGCACCGGCTCTCCGCTGCCGGGGCTCCGCTGCCGGGGCCCCGCTGCAGGGCTCGCCGGGGCTGCTCCGTCCCCAGCAGAACCTGAGGCTCCGCGGTTCCCGCGGGCCCCGCCATTTCACCTCACGAGGCGCTGGCGCAGCCTCCGCCTTCCGCCCGATTCCCGTACGCCGCTCCGCAGGCGGCACCGCCGTTACCTCCGCACGGTACGCTGCTTGCGCAAAGCCCGCCTCCATCCCCGAGGCGGCTCTACAACAGCCAGCGGCCGGCGGGGGCGGGGCGCTACGGAGGCGGCGTAAGGAGGCCCCGGCTGGTCACGTCCCTCCTCAGGCGCGGCGCGGCGGGTAGGCCGCGATGTGGCACCGGTCGGTGTGCGTGGGCCTCCTGGCCCTGGCGCTGGGCTACCTCTGCCTGCTGGGCCCCGAGCTGTCCCCGCCGGCCCTGCGGCACCTCTCCGCCTCGCTGCTGGGCACGCTGCGGCGCGCCGGCTCGCTCGAGGGCCGCATGGTGTCGGCCTGGCAGGCGGCCATCGTCCGCCCGGCCCGCGGGTGGGCGCGCGTCGCCGTCGGGTAGGTGCGGGCAGCGCGGCGGGGCCGGGGGAGAGCGCCCCTGGCGGCGGGGAGGGGAGCGGCGGGCAGGGGAGGGCGCCCCTGGCGGCGGGGCGGGCTGTGGTTCCGTACATCCCTCTGTGTGTGTGTGTATGGGTGTATGTGGGTGTGTATGGGGGGGGGGGTGTGTATGGGTGTATGTGGGTGTGTATGGGGGTGTGGGTGTATGGGTGTGTGTGTATGGGGGTGTATGTGTGTGCGTGTATGTGTGTGCGTGTGTGTGTATGGGGGTATGTGTGTGTGTGTATGGGTGTATGTGTGTGTGTGAGTGTGTATGTGTATGGGGGTATGTGTGTGTGTATGGGGATGTGTGTGTGTGCGTGTATATGTGTGTGTGCGCACGTGTGTATGTGTGTGTGTTTGTGTGTGTTTGTGTGTGTGTGCATGTGTGTATGTGTATGTGTGTGTGTATGTGCGTGTGTGTGTGTATATGAGAGACAAGTTCATAACGACTTTGTAAGAGGGGAGAGCTCATGGAGCCAGGCTGCAAAGGAGGGAAGGGAGAGGAGAAGGTGGCAGGTGCCCCATCCTCATTTTAAGCTGGGAAGAGGACGAGGGAAGTTAGGGAATATCACATTGACCGTTGCATGCAGCGTTGACTCACTGTCTCTCAAACACAAGGCCACGACAGGATACGTTGGCTTTGAGCAGAAGATTGGGCCTTCAGGCGTTGGAGGAGGTGGTGTGCCTCGATGGCGGCGTGGCTGCAGAGCTTTAGTTGGAGTCTGTCGTGTGTCATGGTCGATGCAGGACAGAGCAGGTTTTGCACTGCTCCGTGTAGTCCTGTTCGCTGGAAAAGACCCGAGGATCTTCATTTTAATCCGTGTTCTCTTCGCTGGTTTGAAGCAGTCGAACACGGGTATGATTTATACACACAGCACAAACACTTGGGGCCTTAAGGTTCAGCAGCAAACACGGCTCCTTAGTGGCGTAGCTCTGCTGTTAAGGGAGATAAGTCAAGCATGAAGGGTGTTAGCGGAGGAACAGCAGGGAGAGAGAAGACAGTTGGAAGAGGATTAGAGGTCTCTCACTTAAAGAAGCCTGACTTGGTGATGCCCCCTTAATGATTCATTAAAATATCAAATCGCTGGCCTTTTCTTGCAGTGACTTTGGGGTAAAGTGCTGCTTGAGCTCATTCTTTCTTTGGTTTTCTATTCTTTACCGGGAGAGGGGATTTTCCTCTCCATAGCGTATGAGATGATGCACAGTACAGAGGGCCTCTGAGCTGTTACCTCGGGTACAAAAACCTGCAGGGGTTTTAATGTCCTTCATTTTGTGTGTTGTGGCCCAGATCACACATGAAAGGTCACTGACAAGGAGGGATCATAAATGGCTGCGTGTTTCACACCGACACATCAGCAGGCGCTGGTGTTGAGGGTGCCTGGGGGTATAGATGCAGTCGGGGATCCTGCAAAACTTCTATACATCATTTGGATCCCTGTCCGTGAAGCACAGGGCACAGGAGCAGAAACTGCACTGGACCGCACGTCTGGAAGGTGCTTTAGTAACTGCTGGTATTGTGTCAGGCAGTCCCAGCACAAGCACAGGCTGGGGGAGACCAGATGGAGCAGCCCTGAGGACTTGGGGTGTTGGGTGAGGAGCAGCTCCCCATGACCCAGCTTCAGTGTGTGCCTGAGCCCAGGCTCCCCCCGTGTGCTGGGCTGCACCCCCAGAGCATGAGCAGCAGCTCAGGGAGGGGATCCTGCCCCTCTGCTGCGCTCTGGGGAGACCCCCCCTGCAGCCCTGATCCAGCTCTGGGGCAGCAGCACAAGAGGGATGTGGAGCTGTTGGAGCGAGGCCAGAGGAGGCCATGGAGATGCTGTGAGGGCTGGAGCAGCTCAGCTCTGGAGCCAGGCTGAGAGAGCTGGGCTGGGGCAGCCTGGACAAGAGAAGGCTCCTGAAGGGGAGACCTGAGAGCAGCTCCAGTGCCTGAAGGGGCTGCAAGAAACCTGGAGAGGGGCTTGGGACAAGGGATGTAGGGACAGGCCAAGGGGAATGGCTTTAACCTGCCCGAGGGGAGACTGAGATGAGCTCTTAGGCAGAAGCTCTTCCCTGTGAGGGTGCTGAGGCGCTGGCACAGGGTGCCCAGAGAAGCTGTGGCTGCCCCATCCCTGGCAGTGTTCAAGGGCAGGTTGGACACAGGGGCTTGGAGCAAGCTGCTCTAGTGGAAGGTGTCCCTGCCTGTGGCAGGGGGGTTGGAGCTGGATGAGCTTTGAGGTCCCTTCAACCCAAACCGCTCTGTGATTCTATAATACTGGTATCTCTCTGAAACCAAGGAGCAGAAACAAGGGCAAGTGTTCATAAACATTTTTCTGGGGAGCCTGGTTCCAGCCCAGAAACTTCCTGCTTCTCTGGTCTGAATCAGACTGTGTTTAAATTGATGTAATTGATAAGAACTGGGGACTGGAAGAATGGAGCCACCGCTTAGACTTTAGGTAAAGCCCAGATCTGCTGAAACAGTTGTTCTTGCTCCCTGATTGCTGCAGGACTGGTTTCCTGCCTGCACGGTTTGAAGGAAGGTGCTGTGCTGGTTATGGAGATTCAGGATGTTCCTTTGGACACAGCACTTTTCAGCTCTCTTGACCTGTTATAAACAGCACCAGCCTATGTGAGGGGTATTTGTAGGGGGCTGCTGTGCTTATCGTCTAGAGCAGTTGAAACTCAGGAGGCTGATCTAGCCTTCAGTCCTTTCATTTTGTTTTGAACAGTTTGGAATTGCATGTACATTTCAAACCCAAGATTTGTGACATTTTAGAAGCTTCTTTAAGAATTAAATCCACTGTTCTTGTTCTGAGCAAGCCTCAGGCAGCAAATGAAGTACAACGCATGCTGTCCCAGACACACCCACCTTTGGACCACACGGCTTGGCAGGATGTGAGAGACCCTTCAGTGCTCCGTGGTGCTGCAGCACAACAAAACCACGTCAAAAAGAGAACGCTTTAGTAGAGAGGTTCAGGAAGTTTGCATGCCCTTGCGGGCTTCTTTTTCATGTGGTTGGTTGGGTTGCCCCTCAGGTTGAGGGCTGCCAACAGCAAACACTGCTGGCTGCGGGGTGCTCTGCTTGTACCCCCTCCCGAGTGCCGCGGGGTGGGTGCACTTTGCCCAGGCTGCGTTTTCCTGTCTTGCAGCGTCAATGCCTGCGTGGACGTGGTCCTGTCCGGTGTGAAGCTGTTGGAGGCGCTGGGTGTGGAGCCCGGGGACGGGAAGAATCACGCGGTGCTGAGCTCCCGGCGGGACCTGGGGGAGGCGTTCGCTCACTTCATGGACAAGGGGGCGGCTGCCGAGCGCTTCTTCAGCGACGCCGAGTCCTTCCAGCGCATCGCCCGCACGGCCTCCGAGCACCCCGGGGCCCAGGTGCGTCCCGCCTGAGGAGGAGCTCTGAGGAGCACCTTTGGTTTGGGCCCCGGCGGTGACGTCCGAGCTCTGTCTAGCGAGGGTACAAAGGCATTTAGGCAGGAAACCGATGGTACAGCTTGAGTGCGTTCCTGCCTTCCTGCAGACCTCTGCACCCGCTGCAACAGGAGGGGTTCAGTGGTCTGTCCCCTGCTTGCTTTCCCCAGACTGAAATGTCAGTCTACGGCGCTTCTGTAAGAAAGTGATGCAGGAGCCAGTGATGCTCTCCAGGAGGCTCTGACATCGTGTCATGATGTGACAGGAAATAGATCCAAGCATTAGGAGCTGTAAAGGCTCCAATCAGCTTCAGCTCTGTGTAACCCAGGATTTCAGTTCTCTCTAGGACTCATGGAAAGCACTAAATATACTATTTCTGAAGTCTCCCTTTCCAAAAGCAAAGCTTCGTTGCTTTAATTTATACTGGATCTGCTGATCCCTCTCTTGGTGTTAGCTACTTTCTACAGGCTGCTTAAATGCCACTTTCTGTGCAGTTCACCACCTGGAAAGTTCCCATTCTGGAAATAAGGAATCACTCTGAATGCCTTTTAATGGTCAAGATTCTCCTGGTTTCTCCCCACATTGGCTACACTGGCTTTCTGGAATGGCCTGATTAGTAGCTGTAGCCTCCTATAGCCTGTTTCCTGTCACCTCCGAGTGCCTGTGATCCTCATGCTGATCTGTATTCTTTGCTTTCAAAGCTCACACCGGAGTTTTCTCACTCGAAAGTTTGACCTTTCTTACCTGAGGAAACTCCGCGTGGGCCCAGGCACCCTGATCTCAACTGCTGCAGTTTTCAAATGCTTGCTAAAATCCCACCAGTTGCCAGCTGGGAGCCTGCACAGACGTGAGGGCTGTTTGTGTTGTGAATCAATGGAGTTTTACAGGGCTGTTACCTGAAGGTGAGGATTTGCATTGAAAAGGAGTCAGAGCACACTCGCTGAGCACTTACAGAGGGTTGTTTGGCCTTCAGCCCCAAAGAGCTTTGTTGTGTAATGCCAAAATCTCTATACCAAGAACTAAGCATGTCTAAAGCTATCAAAGCGAGGGAGTGCCCATACCTGCCCCTCTGTTTTACAGCTGTACGTGGGAGGAAACGCTGCTCTCATCGGTCAGAAGCTTGCAACAAATCCAGACCTGAAGGTACCCAAAACTGTCACACTGTTTGCTTGTCTGTAGTGAGGCTCCCATTGCTTCCCTGGAGACTTGGGGGGTGCAGGGACAGGCCAAGGAGAATGGCTTGAACCTGCCAGAGGGGAGACTGAGCTGAGCTCTTAGGCAGAAGCTCTTCCCTGGGAGGGTGCTGAGGCGCTGGCACAGGGTGCCCAGAGAAGCTGTGGCTGCCCCATCCCTGGCAGTGTTCAAGGCCAGGTTGGACACAGGGGCTTGGAGCAACCTGCTCTAGTGGAAGG